TGCAGGATCTGCGGATAATATGATGAAAGTGTCGACCATATTATCTCAGGATGTCCGGAACTGTCAAAAAATGAACATACCCACAAACATAACAAGGTAGGGACATATGTGCACTGGAAGATATACAAGAAGCACAAAATCGAAACCACTGAGAAATGGTATGAGTACCAACCAGACACAGTTACCGAAAAATAACGATGTAACTATCTTCTGGAATATGCCAATTCAAACTGACGGGTAAATAATAAACCTGATATTATCATAAAAGACAAGAAATCCAGGAAGTGTATGCTTATTGACATAGCAGTACCATCTAAGAATAACACCTCCATAAAATTATTGAGAAATTGTCCAAATACAAAATCCTGGAGATCGAGATTAACAGGATGTAGGGAATGAAGAAGGAGACTATACCAAAAGTAGTCGGGCTTCTGGGTCTCGTGAAAAAAAGGAATGGACAATTTTACTAACAGTGTCCCAGGTAATATCAACATACAAGTTGCCCAGATCAACCTACCAGGAACATCCCATATACTAAAGAAAGTGGTATCAGTTAAATGAAAATTCTCCTATAGGACCTAAGGCATATAAAAATTATTTACTTTGCCATCTAAATACTAACTAAAAAACAAACATATATATATATATATATATATATATATATATATATATATATATATATAAACTTTAAATAAATAAAAATACACTATAAACTTAATTTATTAATGAACAAATGAACGAACAAATATTAAATATATACACCTATATTAAATATATGCACCTACTTTGGCCGAGTCTATGGGTTCGGATACCCCACATTAAATTCGGCCTCCTGACACATCTTACCGCGTGGGGTGGTTGTTAGATATCCTGCAGTTGGAGATTTGTCTCCAGCTCTGCTGGACAAACCCTCTGCTTCCGGGCAGAGGTAACCCCAGACGAGGCTATGTCGATGGGCAGAGTCTCGTTTCGGAAAACAGCTACCCGACCCCATTTTATTCGGGGTCTACGGGGAATATTTCATCGAGCTTACGGGCTCGGACACCCACATTAAATTCGGCCTTGTGTCACATCTGACCGCGTTGGAGGTTAGTAGATATCCTGCAATTGGTTGGTTGGTTATTTTGTTTTACGGCATATTAACCTCAGTGGGTCATTTAATGCCGATCTGCAGTTGGAGATTCATTGTGGAATTCACTTAACTCATTTCTAGCAGTTGAATACTACTTCTTTTATGCGCCGCTGGCGAATCTTATATGTGTTGTTCTTGTCCTAAGTATTATCACTCATTACCAACCTTCGTGTGATTATTCTATTCAGTAACCTTCCCTAGGTTACAACCCACACACACTAATATATATAACAAATCAGAGACATTACCTGTGTACGCACGTTTATGTGTACATATATATACATATGTATACCTATATACGTGCGTGTGCATATACATAGAATACATAAGACTATAAGGAGGCGCGGTGGAGTAAAATGGATAGCGGCTCGGTTTACATTCACGTATTTGCGTAAGGTATGAATCCTCTTCTTCCCCACCCCCTAGCTATGGGCAAATAACAGACCGAGTTCTATAGCCTTGGGTGGCAACTAGTCTAGGAAAAGGACAACACTGAATTCAAAACCTGATCCTCCAGGGTGGGGATTGTGCAGTAGTGAATCCAATGTCCATAGGAAGAAGACACAAATTCATGAATTATTACGTCGGTTATACACACTTATCAAGATAGCTAACCTTGCATTCTCTCAGATGCACATTTAAACAAGTACGGAAATGTGCCAACAAAGGAAGCCATCATTATCAAAGACAACAATACTTGTCTAACTTTCAACAACCTTTGCTACCTTTCAACGACTGTTTACAATAGCGCCACCTGGAACGTTAAAAATGGATCATAGATTACTAAAAAGCGCTCGTAATGAACAATCATTTTGAAATTCTCTTCTATGTGCCGTGTACATTCAGGATATAGGAGAAATTTGTCTGTCTTTTGTAGCTCTGAATAAATTCTGTCTTTTGATTATTTCGCCTAATTCCAATTCTGCTACACGAGCTCGTTGGGTAGTTTATTCACTTCTGTGCTCTGCCCTCTTCTCTCCAATATATCTCGTGAGTGTCATATTCTCTAAGTTCCGTTTCTCTCCACTTTCTTTTGCTAAGTTAAAAATAAAACTATTGTTCGCATACAAGAAAAATATAATAAATACAAACTTAATACAAATATCTTGGCAGTCATTTTTAATTGTTTTCCTAAAAGTGTTTTTACTGATTAGTTCACTAAATACTTTCAGCCATTTTGACTATTTTCAGGAAGTAAAGTTGTTTTCAATGGAGGAAAAGAGAATTAGCACCTCAGGAGAATAATTCGAACATGAAACAAACTTAAAATATAACCTCACAACACGTGACATGATAATAAAAAAAAAACTTCAGTTCGAAACATAACGCTATAACAATCAACAAAACAGCAAACACAATTTAAAACAACTTTATTCTCTGAGGATAGCCAAAGTGACTGAAAGTACTTTGGGACATAATATCAGAAAATATATCTACAATCTTGAACCATCAATAAAAAAAAAATAACAAAAACATACTTGTAAGGAAAAATAAATAAATAACACTTTTCAAAAGAAATATTTGTGTGGTTTTCACAAAATATGAATCTATTCTTAGTATAAATTTCTGTCCAGTTTACATCGTGAAGTGTTTTCTTATTATCACCTGCCTACATACAGGGTACGATGGGTAAATGTCGCCATTTTATATTTTTAATTTAGCGCATGCGCGTTGTTGGATTTTGATTTTGTCGACTGTATATAGTAATGTCAGCTAGGCATCGTCTCTAAGAAAAAGAGCACGATGACGCAATTCACAGAAATTTGGAAACAGTATGCTGTACTGCTTGGCATTTGCACCGGAAGCGCCAATAAGAACATTTCAGAGGGTTAATGAGGACAGTGCAGAGGATTTGGAAAGAGTTGGATGAGTCTAATGGTGATTTTGTAATCACCATTAGACTCAAATTCGGCAGCTCGGAAAACTCACTCTGACCGTTCTGATAAGAAAAGAACTCCTGAATTTGTTGATGAATGTAGAGTGTTGAAGTGGGGGGGGGGGCGATATAAAATGTTCTGTACGCCTCATTAAGAATAGAGTCAGTTTAACCACGGCCTCCAGACAACTTCGGAATCTCCTGCAATGCTTCTGGACTGTCTCCTTATTTGTTGGTAAATGCTGCCATGATCCTTGCCTTCAGTTCATCTTTGGAATTACAAATATTTTTGTTGGTCTGTCGTTCACGTGCGCTGCACATATAATAATCAAGGGGGTTGCAGTCTGGGGAGTTAAGTGGCCAGATGTAAGTGAAGATGTTGTATGTCAGTCATGACTGGGTCCTCCTCCTTGTGTGGCATAATGCAGAGTCCTGTTGCCAAACATATGGTCTTTCAGCAGCCACACTCTTGACCCAGGCACTTGATGTAGGCCTCGGCGTTGAGTCTAAAGCCCTCTTATCATAGCCCATTCGCTATTCCATTCACGTGATTATGACGGACACAATATTTCCACAAAACCTTGACCTTTTCCTTCATTGTGTCACCTCACTTTGTTCTATCTAGTTAAAAGTCTATTTAGACCATATAATCAACCTATTTTAAAAAAATTTTTTTAGTTGCTTCACCAGTACAAACATAATCGAGATACTCTAACGGGACATTCTATAATACCTTTTATATTACATAGTAACTCGGGATTTATTTTCTTCAGATGTTAAGTACTTAGCAAACACTGAAGTTGTTATTATACACCCTTGTCATATAACCCGGGGACTTTTCGCTGATGAGGAGGACAAACGTCTCGTTGGAGTAGATGCTGTGGTAGCAGTATGTGCTTCGTGCCGGAGGCCTTCTCTGTACTCCCACCCCCGTTGCGCGGACAGAATCCTTTCTTGTTCCGTAACATCTGTTCCGTAAGCGGTAGTATGACCGGTTATGACCAGATTAGTGGCCTGAGTGCTTCCACTTAGGTCCCCACGTTTAAAACCGAACCCTGGTTAAAGTCAATATCGATTTTATTAAATAAATTTACTGTTTAGTATTCCAAGATATTTGTGTCATTTTGGTAAATATATCTGTTAAAATGACATGTCAGTGTTATTTTTATTTTTGCAGAATCTACCGTACCCTTTTATATATATATATATATATATATATATATATATATATATATATATATATATATATATATATATAACTTAACCTAAATCATTATTAGTCTGAAGTACTTTCTTCTAGGGACGAAACACCTCACTAGACAGTTTCTTCAGGATTTTATTCACTTAACCAAATATCATTTCCCTTTATATATATATATATATATATATATATATATATATATATATATATATATATATATAGGGGATCAGAAACTGCACGAAGTTCATGTTGTTTTGTTCAAGTACTTTTGATCGACGCAGTAATTTTCAAGAACTAATATATATATATATATATATATATATATATATATACAGTGTATCACAAAAGTGAGTACACCCCTCACATTTCTTCAAATATTTAAGTATATCTCTTCATGGGACAACACTGACAAAATGACACTTTGACACAATGAAAAGTAGCCTGTCTGCAGCATATATAACAGAGTTAATTTATTTTCCCTCAATAAATTGATTTAGCTTTTAATGGCTATATTTTGAGTTATTTTGAGGGGAAAAGAAATTAACTCTGTTATATATGCTGCAGACAGACTACTTTTCATTGTGTCAAAAGGTAATTTTTTCAGTGCTGTCCCATGAAGAGATATACTTAAATATTTGAAGAAATGTGTGTGTGTGTGTGTGTGTGTGTGTGTGTGTGTGTGTGTTGAGAGAAAAATCGAGAGAGACAGAGCGAGAGTGAGAAAGAACTAGAAAGAATAAGATAATAGAAGAAAGAGAAGGATACGCAGGGATTAAAAAAAGGAAAGAGACAAAGAAAAAAGGGTAAAGAGAGAAATAGAGAAAGAATGAAAAGAGAAAGAGAGAAAGGAGTAGAGGTAGGAAGTTTGAAAAAATGAAAGAAAGAGATCAGGAGAAAGGGGAAAAAGCAGAGTGAGAAAAAGAAAGAAAGAAAGAAAGAAAGAAAGAAAGAAAGAAAGAAAGGGATGAGGTGGGGAGAGAATGATAGACAGGAATAAAAGTCTGTGAGATAGAGCAATAAGATGTCGTGGCTGGCTGATGGAGAAATGAATGATCACATAGGAAAGACGCTATGAATTAACAGCAAAAAGTTGTTAACACAAAGTCAAATTTCACTGGGGATAATCTTCACTAGAAGCTCCTCAAATTTAATATACTGGGTGTGACAAAAATATTGTCCAAATAATGTAAAAGCAAATTTGTTCATTTGTTAAATTAAGATCTACACCATTGTACCTTAGAAATGATTAAAGATATCTTAGTGGAATTTTATAGTTTTATATAGTTTTATAACACTATTTGACTCTACTCAGAGCAATAATAATGTATAAATACTCTCCAAGCTTAACAGAAGAATCGTGATGAAATCGATCCTAAACGAAAATGACATGTTCATCATTAATTAATCATAGCTAAGGATCTCAATCTCATAGTGGACTGAAATAAATTTCAAATATATATATATATATATATATTATTCCAGGATCATTTTCCAACATATTCAAGATGATCTTCGCCCACTCTAACCTTCTAACATTATGTCCTGGAGTAACATATTGCCTCACACATTTCACGTACAATTTCATTTTCAAGTCTTTTTTCACTGCTCTTTGGACTGCCATAGCTGAAACTCTTAGCTCGCCTGATAAACATCTAATGGACTGAGTTGGATCTTTTCTAATTGATCCCTTCAGCTCTAAGTTGAAATGATGATCTCTTTTTCCCGTTGTGACCTCCTGATCCAGTCTTCCTCTCTACTGTTCCTTCTTTTTTAAACTTATTCACCGTTCTCTTGATGGTTCTTGAACTGACTTTGAAGATGAAAGCCAGTGTATGAATGTTGGTAACATTACTGAAGTCCTGAATGATCTTTTTCCTCTCGCCATTGCTCATTTGGGAAGAGAGTGGGGCTGAAACAAAATTATTTTAACCTGTTCTCTTCCTAGCTGAATAACTCAAAGGCTTTCTCAGCGATTCTTACGACAAATGGTGTCAAGATGGCTAAACGTCTTATCCGAAAACCTGGAAAAAAGGAAATATTAGTTGAGTGTTTTTTTAGATATTAAACATTATGTGAGATGGCCAATTGTGCTGTTACACGATTTGGACAAATTCGCTGTTACACCCGGTATATATAGTGCATATAAAAAAGAAAAATCTAGAAGTTTAAGCAATTTCAATTTCTGATATCTCCTGAAGAGTGGACGGATGGACCCGTCTACGAAACGTCTGGATTATGGAGGTACCATCAAACAGCTAAATGACAAACCTTTTTACTTCATCAACCCTTTACTATATATATATATATATATATATATATATATATATATATATAATATTTTTTGTTTAAAAATATGATTCCTTCGCTACATAAGAGTTCTCATGTTTCAAAAACGAGAGTCTAAACCATCTAAATAATTATTAAAATTAAGTTGAATTAAGGTGTTTAGTCCCGTTTCATCTTCAAGCGAAACAAAAAAATATTATAATATAAGCTCTACTTCTGTATGGAACACTGTCTTCTTAAAAATAAAAGCAAAAATACTAAGGAACTCCGGATTATGCACCCAACGTGTTCTTTTCTATTTTCTGCATACCTGCGCACTTACACACACACACACATACATATATATATATATATATATATAAGGCCCAAAAGCCACTCAAGATAGAGGGTTACTGTATGGTGTCGTAGTGTCGTATAAGTGTAATAACGGGAAAGAAGTTAAGTTTTGGGGCTGCGCAGAAAAGATAACCGCTAACTCTAGACTTGAAGTAGTCAAGATTTAAGTAGTGAATAACATCTCAGTTTCAGACTTTAGAAGTACAGAACTGAAGAAGACTTTAGAAAGAACCGGAAACCCAATCCTTAACAGAAAATAAGGGATGAACTACTACTGTTCATAGTTTTTTTTTTGTTTTTTGTTTTTGAAAACAACCGACATTTTGTGGCGATTAATTATAATAATTCACTTTTCCAGTGGGTTCCGTTGAACTCGTGAGTGTTGCGACGTAGCTGAAGAGTTGTAAATAAAAACAATTATAACTTAAAAGCCCGTATCTACAAATGTTTATAAAACACGCACACACAGCCATCACATGTCACCTACGTCACAACGCGGGAAACTGTTACGGTAAAGCAAGATTCAGTTATTTTCTTATGATATGCGCATCTTTCGGTGGGAATTCCCGAAATCTATGCATGCTTAAATTTTGATAACCGAAACGTAAACAATCTTTTAGCAATTAATGAATTTTTAATTCTTTATTATTAAACTAGCTATTTCGTTGTTAAGTTCAATAATTGAACAGTGTATAATTTATAAACCCCTCAGGAAAGATATCCGTATTTTATACCGATTGTGCATGCGTGTGTACGTGCTTGCGTGTGAGCACGCATAGCTTTTGTATGTGCTCCTTTGTGAAACACTTTAGGTGTTCTTGAGAGTCAAATTTGCTCAGAAATTACAATATCATCGCTAATGATAATCGATTCAACAGCCCAAGACACCTCTAAGAAAAATAACTTTATGTGAAGTTTAATTCAAGCTGAAATAGAATAGAAACCTCGGCCAAGTTTTGTCTGACATATATTTATCTCCTCACTTTATCCCTTTCTATTTACCCTCTCTCTCTCTCTCTCTCTATATATATATATATATATGTCTCTCTCTCTCTCTCTCTCTCTCTCTCTTTCTTTTCAGTTGTATATCTGTTTCTTTTCGTGGCTACCTTCCATCATTTCCTTTGCTTTGATCGTAGTTCACAGAAAGAGGAAAAGAAGGGGTCTCTTCATTGTTTGTCAGCGTGGTAGCTATATGAGTGTGGGCGTGAATGGAGTCATATATGCGCGCGTGTGTGTGTGGCATTTTATATTTAAGAATAATGTAACATGTAAAATTGCCTATGATGCATGCAACAAATTGGTGATGTGGCTATCAATGTTTTCAAATTTTCATCAATTCCGAGCATAACACCTCTTCTATGATGGGAAATGTTTTAGATCAGTTTTATCTAACCATTATTTGGCTTGAAATGTGGCGTGTTAATCGATGTGCAATAAAAGAAAAGCAGGACAGGCCATCAGCAATATCTATTTGATGTCATGAGAAATGCAATATAAAGACTATAAAGAGTTACACCCTTGTGCAAGTTAATTGAAACAACTGCTTTCTTTCACCATACGGTCAGTTTTAGACCCACTGGAATGACAGGGTATAATCGATTACTATTTTTTCCTCAGATTAGGTTATTTGCAGTGGTGTACAGTAATATGAATCCATTTTCGGGGTGTATGATGAAATTTGTTTGGCCTTGAAAAATATCGCTTCATCCGTGATTGCATCAGATTTTCATCATGCCCAGACACTATTGTCTCAACTGTTAATTAGTTGGCCTATGGCTATTGTCTGCGATGGATTTTACTCCAAGGAAGCGTAAGAAACACATTAGCAACCCTTACCAGTGATCAAATCAAAGTACTATCTACTGGCTCGGAAATTCTCCTGATTTAAATCCAATCGAGAATCTGTGGTCAGTCTGCAAGGAAAGACTTCGTGGAATGGACATACGAAGTACTAACATGTACACTGGGCCATGTTTCATTGGAAAATATGGAGGAAAAAAAGTTAATACTAAAGCAATTATTCTTTTTGTTTCAGTTAATTTGAACAAGGGTTTAAGACAATGTGAGCTTTCTAAATATACATAAAAACTACTTATATTATCTTGGAATTAACATAGCAGATTTGAAAGTGAAATACAAAAAAAAACTTTCCTCACTTTCCAACCTCAACAGAATTCAAAAGCATTTGCGCGGTCGTGTAGGCGATGAATGATTTTTCTTCCTACCACCATTTTCCTACAACACACTATCCTTTCACTATTTCCATGTAAAATTTTCTATCAAAATTTTCTTAGTTCTGTTATTTCGGAGCTTTACACCTAAGATCCCCCCTACCATGTACACAGGGGCGAATTATTCTCATTGTCTTTGACAAAGGTGACCCTGCGCTAGGAATAAAGTTCCATTCCAATATCATCTTCCTAAAAGCCATTGCTTTGTGCTCTTAGCATCTTCAATCTTTATCCATCCTGCATATCCTCATAATCTACAAATCTTACCGCTTTCTCTTACGTCCACAGAAGCACATCATTCACCTCTCCCTTTGGGCCTTGTATTTGGTGGAAAGTAATATAAAAAATAACAAAAATAAAGCTTTTCTTTAAGCATTTTACCCCAATCAAGAAGGGAGTGCTACTGGCACGCAAGAGGTTACAAGGAATGAAAGTAAGAGTAAAGAGGGGGATGTTTGAGGAAAGGATATAGAGAAGGACGGGGATCGAGATCAAGGCAACAGAAGATGTCGATTGACATCACGTTTGAATATTTGAAGATTATAGCTATCAGTGAAGGAAGTAAGAGGAAGAGAGTTCCACTGTCTGGAAGTGCGAGAGAAGAAGCTGGAAATAGAAGAGGCGGTTAAATTTAACCGTTTCGACAGTGAAAGGGTGGGACCGAGATGCCAACCTAGTAGCACGCTTAAATTCATGCAGTTGGGGTACCAGTGAAAGTAGCTCGTCAGAGCAGTTAGCCATGAAAATATTTGTAAAAAAGACGCAAGGAAGCCACGTTAGAAAGTAACTGATGTCGAGATGCCAGGCGAGGCCCTATCACATTTCATATCCGTCTATGGATGTTGTCGAGGACCTCGAGATGAACAGCGGGGACACCAGACCATATATGGCAACAGTATTCAATGCAAGGATGAATGGTTGATTTGTAGATTTCTCAGACGAGAAAAACCTTCTGGCGCGACACAGAAATCCAACTTTCCTTGCGGTAAGATGAAGCTGCGGCGGAATTCCAAACTGATATAAGAACAAGGGACAAGGCAAAGGTATCAATATATATATATATATATATATATATATATATATATATATATATATATTGTATTCAACAAAGCGTACAATAAAGAATATATACAAAAAAGAAGCATGCAATGAGTCAGACGAGAATAGTCTCTCTTTGATTATAAAAGTTTATCAATGTTCTCTGAAAAGGAAATGAAAGAGTTATTAGTTTGTTATAAATGTTTTAGACAGTTTTGCCGTGCAAGAGGAAAATTATGTAAGTGTGATAGAATATGTAATTTGTGAGTGAGTGAGAAGATTGGCGCATGTCTTCGACTGACGTGGATTCCAGTAGCAGTCGAAGTCTCACTGGTGTTGATCCTCTTTTGTTCTGTTTATATAGGTTGTCATCGAATTAGGAATCTGCGCGAGAAAAATCATTCTCCACATGCAGAGAATCTGATTGGTTCATACTGACCAATCAGTATCTGAGTTTTGGGGAGACTTCTGGGAGCCAATTCTCCCAAAAGTGCATCAAATTTCACATTTACTATATGAAAATATAGCGATTTTAAAATTGTTGCTTCAGGTAGCAGCGTTGCTTTCTGTCCAATGAATGAATGCTGTTAAAGATCTGAATTTGTAAGGGTGTATGTGTGTGCGATGATGATGATGATCGCTATAAAGCTATTGATTCAATGTAGTTGTGGATAATAAATTCCATTAAAGTGAATGAAAGATTTAATGTATTATTTAATTTTTTGTAAAAAATTACAAGAGCAGAAAGAACAATGAGCTCCTCTCTTTACGACCAAGTTCCGTTCCAACGATCTCGTTGCAAAAGGAGATTGTTGCTAAGTGAGAATTTGTGCATAAACGCTATTCCATGTATTCTACGCGTGTAATGAGTTTGTGTCTACAATCTTCAGATAGCTTTAACGTCACTTTCGCAACATTTGTAATATTTCTAATGGCTTTCTAAATGTTTATACATTATTCTATTGAACAGTAAGCGCAATAAACAAATTCCAAAAATAGTTCCATATTCTGTCCATTATTTCATGCTGTAGATACAAGATAAGTAAATTTTTATTTATTTTCTACTTTATTCATTTTCTTTATTTAGATTCATTTTGGAGAAAGAGAAAAATTCTTCGATCAAAAATCACGTCCAACTGGTTAGATATCTATTTTTAATTTTTTAATTTTTATTTCATGCGATTTCATAGCTGGTCGTAAGTCTGGGGTCATTAAAAAATGTTAAGTCGTTAAGTGAGGAACGGTTGTATATATTATTACCTTTTCAGAATATGTGTATAATTTTGCACAACGTTACATGTTAAAATATGTGTTTACATTTAAATATTGCTTCTGTGGCTATGGCAGTGTGTGTTTCTAAATGTACCTATGTACGTATATGGGTATTTAATCAGTCCCTTCCCTCCCCTCTCTCTCTCTCTCTCTCTCCTCTGTCCCTCTCCCCATATCTCTCTCCCTTTCTCTCTCTCTCTCTTTCCTCCCTCTCTCTCTCCCGCCCTAAATGTGTCGATGTACATATATTTATTTGTTCCCCTCTCCCCTCTCTTACTCTCTCTCTCTCTCTCTCCTTTCTTTCTCCTCCTCTTTCCTCTCTCCCTCTTTCTCTCTCTCTCTCTCTCTCTCTTCTCTCCATCTTTTTCTCTCATCTCTTTCCATCTTTCCAACCCTCTCTCTCTCCCGCCCTAAATGTGTCGATGTACATATATTTATTTGTTCAGTTCTCCCTCTCTCTCTCTCTCTCTCTTACTCTCTCTCTCTCTTACTCTCTCTCTCTCTTTCTCTCTCTCTCCCTCTTTCTATTTCTCCCTCCCTCTTTCTATCTCTCTCTCCCTCTTTCTCTCTCTTTCTCTCTCTCTCTCTCTCTGTCCCTCTCCCCATATCTCTCTCCCTTTCTCTCCATCTCTCTCTGCATCTTTCTATCCCTCTCTCTCTCCCGCCCTAAATGTGTCGATGTACATATATTTATTTGTTCAGTTCTCCTCTCTCTCTCTTACTCTCTCTCTCTTTCTCTCTTTCTTCCTCCCTCTCTCTCTCCGATCTCTCTTTCTCTCTCTCTCCGATAGCAAGCAAAGAGGTCGGTTTATTTCATCATATTCAATATGAAATTGCATCATGGGATTCTTTGATTGGTATTGATCGGTATTGATTTCTATTTCCTATTTTTGTGAATTGTAATATTGATTGATGTTTAAATTCAAATATTTACATTTCCTCCTTCTTGTAACATTGGCGCATGTAAACAGCCATCGATATGCACAAAAACTTCACACAATCATCCCCACCGTCGCATTTAAACAAGCACAAAAGCCTGATGACTAGATGAGATACAAACATGACATAAATTTCGCCACAAAAATACTTTCTCTATTAAGTTAGTTTATAAAGAAGTTCTTCTGAACTTATTGGTGAGTCTTCTTCTATTTACCGCGTCCCTTCAGGACGTGGGCAATCATGGTTCTCCACCATTTCCTGTTCTTTGTAACTCTTAATAAATTTTATCTTTTTGTTATCTCTCCTAAACCTTGCGCTGCCATATATTTACTGATGCTCTCCAAGTAGGTAATGCGTAGTTTCCCTTTGTTTCTCTTGCCTTCAATATGTCCTCTCAGTATTAGATTTTCAAAACCCTCTTAATTCATTATTTTCTATAGAAATTGCAATTGTCTCTTCCTGCTGTTAAGTATATGTATCCTTTTTCTTTCCATTTTCTTTAAAACTTAGCTCTTGCTCACATATTTGGTTCATTGAATTCTCAACATCCTTCTGTGGACCCGCATTTCTATTGGTTCAGTTCTCTTCTTCATTTGTGCGGAGATTGTCAGGTATTCACTGCCATATAGGAGGACTGATATTACATAACAGTTCAGTACACTTTTCTGTGTTTCTGTTGCTTCAAGTTTCTTATTCCCTGGGGAGATTTTCCAGCAATCACTGCTATATAGGAGGACTGATATTACATAACAGTTCAATAATTTTGTCTTTGTTTCTATTGCTTCAAGTCTCTTCTTCATCTGTGAGGAGGCAGTCCATCATTCACTGCCGTATAGGAATAATGATATTACATAACAGTTCAGTACACTTTTCTGTGTTTCTTTTGATTTAAGTCTCTTCTTCAACTGTCAGGAGATTGTCCAGCATTCCCTGCCATACAGGAGGACTGATATTACATAACAGTTCAGTACTCTTTTCTTTAACAATGAGATTAAAATAATGAATGTATTTCACCTTATTTCACTAACTTTTTACAATTCTTCTCTTCCAAATTTACTTTTTCGAAATTTTCTTTTGCCACAAACGATCTCTGAACAACGCCTTGCTTTTTTCTTTCAGTCAACATTTTCTTTAGTGTTTCTTAGTTTTCATTCTGTTATTCTTTTATTCATTTCTTCTTTCATTCTGTTATTCTTTTGTTCATTCCTTTTTCATTCAGTTATTCGTTTTGTTCAATCATTCTTTCAATCTTTTATTTATACATTCATTTATTTTTCATTCTGACTTTGCTCCATGTATTCAGGTCTTTCATTCTTTTTTATAATTAATTCACAACGTCCTTTTATTCAGTTATTTTAACTTTCATTATTTTATTAATTCAATCATTATTTACAAACAATCATATATTAAATTCTAATTGCAAATGAAGAATTGCTCAAAATAGATGAGGGAAATCGCTATAAATAATCCTAATTGTAAATAATTATGCAACAAGAATAGACGATAAATATTTCTCAATAAAAATGAATATGAAACGAAATGAAGACATTTGAAACAACAATTTAAAAAATGATGTGCAGGGAAGAAAAGAATGATTTTAATGATAAACAAAATGCGTCAACCACAATGCTTGTAAAATATATTCATTCTATTTACCTATTTTAATATTTCCCTATATGGATGCCTTATCATGATGTCAAGGTTAGAAATTTTGTTTTATATGAATTTAATATTCACTGTGCCCTACCATACTTGTGGTGGTTTACTGCCAGAACCAAAGTATATTTAGTAAGCTAAATATATCATATTTAGATCAGCAATTAATTAGGTTTGTGCGAAAGTTCCCAGCGTTCTATTTTAAAATCTCAAGACTGAATAGCGAGTTGAAAACCTGTTTGGTTTTGGCTGGCATCTGTTCTACCCCACCTGATAATCTACATATTTTAAATGTAATATCTATCTATCTATCTATCTATCTATCTATCTATCTATCTAACTATCTATCTATCCTTTCTTTCTTTCTCTCTCTCTTTATATATATATATATATATATATATATATATATATATATATATATAACAGTTTATGAAACTATTTAGAACAAGAGAGATTGATATATGAACAAGATAGACAGATATGAACAAAAAATAAATAGATGATACTGATAATGATAGATTTCAAAAAATAAATAGATAGAAAGAGAGATAGAATAGGATAGATAATAAAACAGACTGATAATATAGATAGATAATGAATATAGAACAGGCTGATAGATAGATAGATAGATAGATAGATAGATAAAAAAGACCTTACATAGATAGATAGAATAACATGGATAGATAGATAATGAACATGGATAGAATAATGAATATGGGTAACAGACCTGAGATAGATAGATATAGACAGATAATGATATATAGATAGGATAGATAGAATAACATGGATAGATAGATAATGAACAGACCGTGATAATATAGACAGATAATGAATATGGGTAGATAGTGAACAGGCTGAGATAGATAGATAGATAGATAGATAGATAGATAGATAGATAGATAGATAGATAGATAGATAGATATCTGGATCTAATCTTCGTTGTGCTTTGGTAATGGTATAATTAACCGTTACCTCCCAAGGAATTATTTGGCCTTCCTTGACCAAGCAGCCTGTACTACTTTCGTTTGAAACTTATAAAATCTTTCTCTGAAAATAATGGGGTTTCCTTCTTAACCTTTTATTTGAAGTAGTGTGGAATGACAACATTTTGATTATGTGATTATTTTCTCTTGCAGAGTTACTTGTGCTATCCATTTCAGTTGTTGCGGCCGCTGGTAGTCCACAAGTGATGTGGTTTCTGTTATTTGGTACTGTTCTTTGTGATCCTGTAGCGCCATCCATAATATTCAAAGAAGAACGATCGTTGCTAAAACCCTCAGACATACCTCGCTCAAAGCTTTTTTTACCATTGATCTTAGAAAACAGTTATCTACACCCTAATTTTAGATATTCCTGAACGGGTTTTGGCGCCATGCACGACATACATATGAAATTTGTGTATATCTGTCTCTGCGAGTATGTGCTTATTTTTATCTTAGTCAGTCTGTTCCTATCTATCTATCTATCTATCTATCTATCTGTTTTGTGTCTCAGTTTGTTCGTATCTACCTATCTATATATCAGCGATTAGATGCATGTAATTGTTGGCGAAGGATTTAGATGTTAATTGCCAAATAACCCGTAATTGAAATTTAAAATGATTTTGCTTCTTCTTTTATTTTCTTTTTCTTTCTTTCAGTTATCGGACCCACATATGTTTCACGCACATACACATGCATTCCCCCGCCTCTCTGTCCTTGTTTCTGTCTGTCTGTCTGTCTCTCTCTCTCTGATGCGCACGTTTCCTTCTCTCTCTCATGCGCTCTTTTTACCACTCTCTCTTTTTCTCCACACACACACACACACACACACACATATATATATATATATATATATATATATATATATATATATATATATATAATTCAATCCAATAACCATATATATGACGGACTCTCTCATCGAGTTCGACGTATGAGGTTCCGATGACCACGAACTTCCGATGACCACGAAATTATCTGCATGCCTATGACGGCCAGGACTTTTAAGACCGGCTTGAGAATTGCACAAAAGACCACAAAGACTACAGGAGAATGCATTGTATCCAAGTGAAGCAGGAACACTGTTAGATGTCTTATTTTGCTTTCTCGTTTCATGTAGTCGACTGATGGTTACTTCTCAGTGCAGCTATATCAAATGTTGTACTTCTTTAGCTCCAATGCGACCAGAGCTGTTTTTCTTTCTGGTGTTTGTATATTCCAAGTGCCAATATGAAGTTGATGTTGTTTCTTAGAGTTTTTCGCAGTAGCCAGATATGTGTGGAATTAATTAGATGTTGTTGTCAGAAAACCAACACAATGATATGTTTTCAAGTGGTGAAGGCTTGTGTCGTACCATCTACACTTTTTGGATCCGTCAAAAAAAAGTAACGGTGCAAAAGATTTACCACAGAAACTCTGAACGACATTCCTCATGTGTTATTATCGCGGAGTTTAACCTCTCCGGATCACAGTTAATATCAGCCAGTACACGCCTCTCGGCAGACACATGCAATATAATGATCGGGTTAAGCTGTCATGAGTTTTCCTTCCCATCTGAAGTCTTTTTATCGTGAAACCAACACTAAAAGATTGCTAACCAAAGCTCAGAGAGACTCCTTTCACCCTCATCAAGGACAGATAGCCTGCACTAGTTCTCAACGCGGGAAACTATATATATATATATATATGAGACGATCAAAAGAAATAGAATAAATAAACAACACTACTATGAAAAGTTAAACAAAACAATAGCTTCTCGTTTCTAGTTAACAAATCATTTTTGCATATATATATATATATGTGTGTGTGTGTGTGTGTGTGTGTGTGTGTGTGTGTGTGTGTGTGTGTGTGTGTGTGTGTGCATTGATATAATAGGAAAGAACTGTTAGGTTGATGATCCGAAGTTCTTTAGTATTTTTGTTTTTATTTTTTAAAAAAGCAGTGCTCGATACAGAAGTATAGTCTAAAACAACGGAGCCTGATAAAATTAGTCAATGTAGCCAGACAAAAAAAAACAACCCAACCTTAGATGACTCGATAAACTTGACGTATAACAAACACCCCTACATTTATCAAAGCAGAGACCCCTTGATAATGAAAAACAAACCCCAGATCACACCTCCATTTCAAAACTATAAATGAATAAAGCATTTTGTTGCTTAGTTATTGCAAACATCGCTTGAGGTTGAAACTGTCTTCCAAGCATCACTTGAGGA